TCGGCCCCATTTATCACCACCCTCTGAGCTCTGCCATCCAGCCAGCCCTCGATCCACCGCACCGGATTATTGTTGTTGTAAAAGCATGTAGCACTGCAATTAATGTGGAATTGTGATCAATATTTACATCAAAAGACTGCTGCATCAGCTGACTCCCACATAAGCCCAGGCAGTTCACAAAAATCAAAGATGCAAAATTGYTCCCTCCTGGGGGGCAGGCAGAGCCTTTCTCTTTCTCCAAATCCTCCACTTTCAGCAGAGCCAGGATCTCACTGTTTTGGTGTTATGCAYGGCTGTATGCCATGACTTGGATGCCCTTCAGTTTTTCCAGCAAGAAGCTAAGAAATGTCAGAAATGACTCTTCTGGCTAACTGAAAAAGGAATTGGGATCTAAAGCTGCTACTTTACTTCAAAAAAACATACTCTGCACATTCAGTGAACACCATCTGCATTCAGAAAAGCCACTGGAATAAGAATGTCATAAATTAAACTAGAAAAAGCCAATGAAAGATATTTTCAGAGCTCTTAATTTTCTGTTACATGTTATGAAACAACATTTTCTGAGACTTAGGAAAATGTACAGACATATCAGTCTAGGCTTCCAATATTATTTTAGGATACTGGAATTCCATAATAGTGAATCAGAAAGTTATTATTTTGAACATGAAGAGGTGAAGGTGGAAGAGGTGAGGGAAGATGTTCAGGAATGATAKGTGTTGCCATAAGTATATCACATTTGATAACCCCATATAAAATAACACAAGGCAGAATATTGCCAGGATGTCTCAGTCCTACTAACCTGAAAGTAAGATTTTCTTCTGAATTTGAAAAAAAGTGGAGAAGGAAAGACACCTTCTAGTCACACACAGCCATGTCTGGATGTTTTGTCTTGATTGCCTTGCGAGTGTCATTTGTCATTTACATTCACACCTACTACTGTTTTAGCTCAGCACTGCATGGACAAGGATCCTGGCTCTCGAAGTTCCCGCATATTTGGCCCATATGGCTTTAGCTTCAGGACTATGAACATAATCAGTGTTTGCTGAACCCAGCTGTATATTTTTAAGATGCAAATGTTTTCATAGGTTCTGATTTCTTTTTAGCTTAAGGTAATCTTTGCTTATACTGTCTGGGCTAACTACATCTCAGGAC